TGTATTTGAATGTTAAGGTACCCAGACTTGCTCTTTCTGGCAGTAAGTTTGATTCTATATGACCCAAACTCTCTTATAGATTGATAGTGGCTCTCCAGTCAGGTCTGTTTGAAGCCATTTCGTCCCAATTTTCCACAGGAATGGCAGTATTCTTCAACGACCTTTTGAGACAGTCTTTAAATCGGAACTTTAGCTTGCACTGACCAAGTTTACCAATAGAGATTTCTCCATTAAACAGCTGCTAGGGACCAGACCAGCGAAGGCTCCAAACCCTTTTAACAAGCAAACCAAAAGATTTGTCCAAGGAATTATCCTGAGATAACAACAAATCTGAGGCACTTACCATATACAAATATAGCAGGATTCACAAAGCTCTTGCCTGTTATAAGCTGATACATGACCACACTGATAGTCATGCCAAAGGCTGTACAGTCCCCAGAGAAACAGTCCATTTGCATCTCACCTTGCGTATGCGTAACCAAGTCCCTATATAGTAGATCCTGAATAGGCACCTCGGCGTGGTGTAATGGTTAGCAAGCTTATCTCGCTAGATCAGTTACGCCTGAAAAGTGAGTTCGATCCTCACTAGGTTCCCCATACTTTCGGCCCTGTGCCTCATCAAGACCTTGCTCAATACAACATAATAGAATTACTTACATATCAATTATAAGTATGTGTAAAAAAAAACAATACTAATTCTTTTGTATATACACACTAAATCTAATCATCCTCCATCTATAATTAAGCATATACCTTTATCTATCAAAAAAAGAATAATTACAAATTCAGCAAATGAGAAGATTTTCTATGAACATATTAATTTCTATAATAAAGCTCTTAAATATAGTGGCTGCAAAAGCCCAAAACTAACTTTCAAATCACGATATGAAATACAGGCTAGATACCAGCATCAGTTTAGGATTAATATCTAGTCTGGAATTGTAGGTGACTGTCTGGTAGGTCCATATGTTCTCCGAGCACGTCTTAAATGTGCTGTCTACAGGGACTTTACTTCGAACACACTTCTAGATCTGTTAGAGGATGTATTCCTGCAAATACGAAGACGCGCGTGGTTCATGCATGATTCGGCTGCAGCACATTTTAGTCACATTGTTCGTGATGCACTGGCTGACATCTACCATGAAAATGGATAGGTAAGAGATTATTTCCGCAAGTCAATGATCTGACGGGTGCAGAAGCAAACGGAGGAAATGTTGAAAATGTGTTAGGAGTTGTTCTGTGGAAGTAAAATGATGGCCTTTTGGAGATATTTTATATGAACATTTTACCTTGTTTTGGTGTCAGGAACCCGCCGCCAAAGTTTTTTAAATTATTTTTGATACATCCTATATATATACACACACACACACACACTATATATATATATATATATATATATATAGGTTATGTTTATATATATATATTAATAGATTACGTACGTTTTCACATAGCTTGTTCAGGCTTGATTCTCCCCTACTCGTGATTAGTTTATTACGTACATCAAGCAATTAAATCCCATTAAATCACCTAAATCCGATCGTATATTATCATCATGTCGGCATCTGCAAAATTACAGTCGTATATGCAAGGATTGTGACCATCTGTAAGAACAAACGAGAGAAGGAATCTAATAACTACCGCAGCACCTCTACTCTCAATTCAAGGGAAATCTCTTGGAAAGATCATTGTCAGAGGTCACGCTTTCAACAACAGTGAGGACATTCTACTAGAAAATCAATTCAGCTTCAGAAAAAACCGTGACATAATATTCTCACCAACGCAGCCCCAGAAGTATTTTGAACAACGTACGAAATTTTGTTGACATTATCAAAGTATTTGACACTTTCTGGAAGCAGGTACTAAAAATCTATCCGTCTTTACGAAGGTGTGAAAGGCTTCATTAACATGTATGGTGAATTTCCGGACACATTTCCAATTAATATTAAACAGAGATGTGTTTAGATTTCTGGTGAGACATGCTGTATAACAGCAGTGAAAAGGACAGAAGCCACAAAACAACTTCACAAGAAGCCGAGAATTTTTTTTTCAAATTGATTCTGTTAATCAGGAAGTTAACTGTTAGTTTTAATATTCCTTCATATCGCTAAAAAAGAACTGATCCTTTCAATTTAGAAATATTAATGTGTACATGTAATTACTTTTTATCAACTTTCATACAACAGTGAGTGATTTGAAAGATAATTTAATTTGGCTTATCATTTATATAAACTCGTAAATCAGCCTGCCTACGGGGGATACGTTGACTGCATCACATGCAGATGGATAAGAACTGCTCAAAAGTGGATGTGATTTAAAACTAGGCCAATGTTTATATATAAACCCAAGTTAATATAAACGTTATTTTTGGTAGGTACATGCGTTTGGAATGCTATCCCTGTTGGTATTTTTATATTGATAAACATTGAAATTAATAACAACCTAGAATGAGGAGTCGTCCTAAAGAAAAATTAGGACATTTCCTATTTATGCTGCCAAACACGTGCAATCAGGTATATAGCAATAAAAAATAATGTCGGATAAAAATCTCTTCAAAAAATAAACTGAAATATAAAGCACGACCAATGTTTATATACAGACTCAAGTATAAAACTCTACCAGTGTCTATATATTGACTCAAGTATAAAACCTGATCAGTACCGTGACTTAAGTATAAAACCGGATATATAATTATATGTAGACTCAAATATAGAAACCGATAATGGTTTATATACAGACTGTAAAAACGTGATAATGTTTGTATATTGTCTCTAGTATAAAACCCGATTACTTTTTGCATATAGAATCAAATATAAAAATCGATATAAAATGAAGTATAATAAAATAAAAAAACGAAGTAATGGACCCAGCAATGTTTGAAATGTCTTTAACTCGATCAAACTAAACTCGCATCTAATCCATAAAGAACTTTGTCTAAACTCCATGTCACTTTTAGTAAAACTGCATGCAATCTTGGCGGGTGTTTAATGAGAATCGAAGAGATGTAATTTATGCATATTTTGATTGCTGTCAATATTTCTAAGATGAGGTATTCTATTATTTACACTATTTACATTGATCGGATTGTTGTCTTTATCTTTGTCACCATATTCACGACGTTTCGGCAGTTGTAAGCTCTTGCCTTCTTCAGGGGATTGGAATTTCTAACCGTACCCATTATTTCGTCCAACGGGGTAGATTCTTCTAGTTCCATGTGCCATACCTCTTCTGGATATCTCAGTATCAGTCATTTCCCTTTAACTCAACTCTCCAAGTTATTGGTCACCTCTGCTGTAGCCACGTATTGAACTCACAACTCTTTGTTTCAAGTCACTTTTGGATTACTTTAGCCAACGTTTTATCTACTTGAGGTCATCAGTGCATGAACTTTTGGGAATTTTAAACCTAATATCTCAGTAACCAATTTTTTTTCCAGAGTTCTTATTACAATTTGTTGTTGTTATTGTTTCTTTAGCCCTCCGTATTACTGGTTCCCATATTGTATTCATTTCTATACTTGGCCGGCTTAGGAGATTTTTCTGGCCTAACGCTGATTCTTTACGTTTTCCTGTTTTCCAGTGATGTTCCCTATTATGGCTTTAAGATGTTCCTACAGTCAAATCTTAAGACGGTCTGTTTCTCCGTTATATTTCTTACCACAGCTGCACGGGACGATGTACAAACAGTCCTTAATCCGGTTCTCCTCTATGGAGGGGTCTTATTCAAAAAAGGTGTCTGCGAAGTGTCGAATCACTTTTGAAGGGTGTCCTGATGTTATATGGACCGTAGATCTTTTGTACTTTTTCTGATAATTACTTTACATAAGGTAGACAGACCGAAGCAGTTTTCTGAGTGATTTTGAATGTGTTGTTTGGGTACAGAAAGTCAGCATCTCCATCAGGTTTTCCATTGGTATACTGATACGTTCTCCTGACAATGGGTTCAAGGCAAGTCTGTCGCTGACTACTGATTGTACATACTCCGTGGATAAATTGAACAAGCTCGCCACATGCTCACCATCTGGTTAAAATGAATGGAAGCATCTTTGATTCTTTCCACGAAGTGGGCGGAGTTTCGGACAGATAAGATGACTTTCCTATTAATGGGTAAATTATATCCATAAGCAAGCAACTCTGAGGGTGGCATATAGAGCCTTGGCAGCTAACAACTGGCATGGGCATATGCTTGGCCACAAAAATCTCCTAAGCCGGACAAGCATAGACATAAATACAATATGGTAACCAGTAATACGGAGTGCTAGAGAAAAAACAATGATAACAACAAATTGTAATATGAACTCTGGTAAAATGGTTACTGAGATATTAGGTTTATAAGTCCCAAAAGTCCGTACACTGAGGTCCTGAAAGCCCAGTGGATAAAAGCGTTGGATGAAGTAATCCTGTGACTTGACACATAGAGTTGCGAGTTCAATACTTGGCTACAGCAATAACTTGAAAATTTGAGTTAAAGGGAAATAACTGATACTGAGTTATCCGGAAGAGGAACGTGGAACTAGAACAGTCTACACCGGTGGACGAAATAAAGAGTTCGGTTCGAAATTCCAATCACTTGAAGAAGGTCGGAGCGTTGTGAATGTGGCGACAAAGATGGGGACAACAGTCCGAACAATGTAAATAATTTTGATATCTAACAGAAAATGAATATATTGTTTGTTGCATCCTAGCTAGATAGAAAGCAAAGGGAATAGTATGAGATCCAGCAGAATAAAACGAATATTGATTTAATCGTTTTTTACGGTTTATCAACCCTTTACATGTTATTTAAAACCAGGAAACATTTTTAAAGTATAAAAATTTGTTTTAGATAATAATGGTTTAGTGATACGTGTTTTACTAATTAATCCATAGCTGGGGAGAAAAGGTGGCTTCATACCTTTCTCAAGAGTATTTGTGCGTAAGTGAATATATCTAACCCAACGGGAATTGGAAATAAACTGTCGGATTAACAATTCCAAACCATTATACATTACACCAGCCATGCACCCAGCACCTGGTATTGCCCAAATTGTTACCCATTAAGGTAGTGACCAGACTCGACGTTGCTTAACTTCAGAGTTCGTACGGGAACCAATGTTTCAACGTGATCTGGCTGTAAGCCTAATAAAACGATAAACTGTCGATTTGAAAGAAATCAATGAGAAAAACATCTATTTTGAATACAAATGGAAGGAAGACCTGAGCACAGTTTTAAGTTCCTTTGTAAAGAAGATTAAATGAAAACGTAGACTGTCTCTCAACCCGTCGAGCACTGTGTGTGACTAAACATATTCAATAGTGTACAAAGAATGTTTGTTCCAGTTTGATCACAGAGACAGGAACTCCGAGGTAGTTACGCGTTATTTACTTTCGACTATTACTCTCCTCCTCTCTTTCATCCTTCCCAATGCAATATTCACCTTACTTTCCTCGTAGATCCATATTTGGTTTTGTTAGGTCAGCGGGTCTGCGTTTTTTTTTTTCAACCTGATGACAGCTAATCTTCCATTCACCAACTTGCCCACATACGGTCATTTCCCGCATCTGATTTCTAAGATGGCCATTATTGGGTTGTTTCTTTTTATTCTTTGTCCGATCATTTCTTTTTTTCTTTTTTTTTTTAGTTTTACTTTCACTGCAATTCGACGCACGTTTTCTTCTGATCCTCCTTGTTTATCGAGTCACGTCTTTCTTAATTAAATTCTTCAATTCATGGAATATTCTCTTTTGTTTTTATTTGCTAATTACGCCTTTTTGTTGACGTTTCAAATGCATTGTTCTACTGCGTCATAGTGCTACCTAATCAAAGTCTACAGAACCTTTTTTCTTTAATCAATAATGTAAGCCATAGCATTCAACTCTTGATTTCGAAAGCCGTAAAAAAAAATTATAAGACTATTTAGAATTTTCCAAGTTTGATTCGCTGTGATCAAAATCCAAAAAAAAAAAAAAATCTCTCCCACTGAACGGACAAGAAATATCCCATCACATACGATTTCTTCAGATTCAATAGGATGGAAACTTCTGTTTAAGACAAATTCATTTATTCGATGTCATTTTATTTTTCTTTAACTAATTTCTAATTTTGCCAGTCGGTTGACTGCAGAGTTGAATAAATCTTTCACAACAGAACACCGTCAAATTCAATCGATTGCACTTTAGTACGTCATCATCCACCACCGCCTCAATGCTTTACATCATTTCCAAATTTTTACTTCACTTCAATGACTGTCTTGTAAATTACTTTCGATTCAAAACTTTTATTTCATCAACTGTACTTGCCTAATGACGAGACACACTAATAGATACGCTGAGTAATAAACAAATTTTATGCAATGATACTCATTGTCTTTAGAATTGTCATAATTAATTTTTATTGAGGTTAGTTGACAAAGAACTAACGTATTTATCACGCGGGAAAACGTTTTCGGGATTAATTGCCCCCCCTCTACTAACATTTAAAAAAATGTTATTTCGTATAAAGAATTATTACGAGTTGCATTAATATATAACTTGATAATTGCATTTTACAAAAATTAAAACAGACAGCCAGCTGGTAATTTTCAACAGGTTGACATTTTTCTGCTCTCATTTGTTCCAATAAGTTCTGTTTTGTTTTGTTTTTGTTTTGTCAACGAACACTCATTGTCACTTTTGTGATGCCAACGAATGCTCGTTGTAGTAGAGTCTTATTATAGCAGATAAAACTATAGTACGCCGTTGAACAATACTTGTGTCAGACGCTTTCGAATAACACTAATACTACTTGTTCGATAATACTCGAATAGTAATTCGTTTAAGGATCCGAATGGAGGAATAGTATAGTAAATAGAGTAGAGAAATAGTAATAGAGGATAAACTAGAAATAAAGCTAGCTCCCAGCCGCATAATATCGGGCGAAATTTTAGTGCTCTATCGCGCATGGGTAGGTGTCCCTGCATGTATTTCCGGTGAACAATCCTGAGGCAACACCATGCTTTAGTCTTAGCCACCTCTAAGAATATTGCTGCAACATATGGCCCGGTGCTCCTGCTATTTATCCAGAGCTCCTTGATAAAATCCAAAGAATCATCAATATTATTGGCTCTGATCTGGCGTCTCTGCCTCAGTGAATTTCCCACTATCGTAAGGTTGCATCCGTTTGCCTTTTCTATAAATACTTCCATGGCAATTGTTCAGATGAGCTCTTCGCTAAATCTCGTGATAGTGGGGTCATAGCTTTAGCTAGAGCAAAGTTAGGACCAAGCTCTGGTAGTTAGGGCTAGGTTAAAAAGAATATTCTCTGAGGCAACGAATATGGCCGCTGTATTGCGTGCAGAGGAAGTTCGGAATGCATCACAGCAACATATCGCGTGTGTTACATTGCCGGATAATCGAACCGCAACTACAAACGCAGGTATATGCGAGACTTCGTGAATACCTTCAGGATCTCTTCTCCGGGGAGCCCAGTCTGAGCACTGCTCAGTTCGACGCCTATTTAACCGATTTTCCCTGCCTTGAGGCAGCTGAAGTAGTTGGGTACGAGGGTCCCATTACAGAGTCGAAAATCTGGGATGTGCTGAAGCAGTTTGGCCTAGATAAATCTCCGGGATGAGATGCTCTACCCTACAAACTGTACTTGAGTCAGTCGCCCGTTTTTGTTCCATTGTTGGCACTGATTTTAAACAACTGGTTAAAGCAGAGGTTTATACCTCAACGCTTCACCAGGGGTGTGATCAAGTTTCTATGCAAGGAGAAGAACGGTGGGTATGGGATAGGTAACTTTCGCCCTTTAACTACGTTAAATACAGAGTTAAAAATTTTGGTCAAGGTCTTAGCAAACCGTTTGCAGGCTGTCCTCTCTTGTCTGACTTGGCCCCGAACAGACTTGTGCTGTGATGGGCAGCACTTTTCAGGACAGCCTTCACGTGGTACGCTTAATCCTCGAGCAAGTTGACAGTGAAGCCGCGTTGATCAATTGAGATCAGTCCTAGATATTAGCTAGGGTGGGCCATCAATTTCTGAAAGATATCCTTTCGGTGGCCGGTTTCGGGGCCGTACTTTCGCACCTCGATCCGACTTCCTTATCCGTCTCCTAGACCTTTGCTCGAAACGGACGGGCCGGTCAAGATACTCGGCGTCTGGTTTGGTCTCGATATCCAGTTTGGAATAAACTGGTCGGAGGTACATTTCGCAGTTCGCCTGTGGTCCCGGAGGAATCTTTCCTTAAAGGGGAGGACGGAAGTATGTGCCTCGCACATCTACCTGATTCTTCTTTACCGACTCTCCGTGCTTCCACTTCCGTATGCCACACTAATGGCATTAGTAAGGCTCTTGTTTTCCTTCTTGTGGGGAGGCAAGATCGCTAAGGTACTTCGGGAGATCTGTTACCTCCTTCTGAAGGCGATCTGCGTATGCCTAGCGTTGAAATTTGTCAACATACGCTTCGCATCGCGTTCCTAAATCGAATATATCGCGATTCGGATGAGGACGCCCGAAAGAACTGACCTTCCCTGTGCACTCGTGTGCGGAAGAGTCCCGCCGTTTACCCCGAGGCAAGTGCTCCTATCGTGAATGTCGTATTGCTCTGAGACACCTCTTACGTCAGAGAGCCTCTCCAACGTCCAGGCGTTGTCTCGAAGGGAATTATATCATGTGTTAGGGGATCCGAACAAAATGATCTGATTGACGAGCTCGGTCTTACGAAGCAGGAGGCTCCTCAGTATGATCGTGGGCGCCCGGGTTGAAATGCTCAATAAAAATGAGGCATCACTCTAGCTGATGATTTGTAGGGCCCCTTGGATCGGCAAAAGACTTTGTTTAGCGGGCTTGGAGACATCTCCAACCTACGTTCGCTGTCACGCCTTCTTTCGTTGCAGGGTCGTAGTTCCAATATGCAGGTTGAAGGTATCATGGTTCGTATGCTGCATGGAAGGTTTTTCGTCCTCAAGGCCAGTTCTGTCCGTAGCAATGTGGTACCGCTACTGACGAAGGCTGAATACCATGTGTTCTTTTGCTTGCTAGGGGTTATGAGAGACGTAATTTGGAGGATACATCAGAAGGGAATCTATAGGGCAGAGAAGTTCACTTCTTCCCAACTAATCTTGTACTTTAAGCATCACGGAAAGGCAGCGGCTTCCGCCATCAGAATTTGGCAAAAGGTTGCGCGTTTATGTCGAGGAAAAGGGGCTGTCTTAGGCATCAGGATATTGTTCTCTCTGCTTTAATGATTATGACTAGCACCCACTTCTCTCATTTTATGTTTAAATGCCACAATCTCTCTCTCTCTTTCTATATATATATATATACACACACACACACACACACAAACAAAATAAATATCCTTACGTATACTGACATATTTATATACATGAGTCTGCCTGTAGAAATTTGAGTGCTTATATATATATATATATATATATATATATATATATATATATATATATATGTATGTGTGTGTGTGTGTGTGTGTGTGTTCAAAAGGATAGTATAAGAAACAATAGAATAGAGTTTTTTTTTCTATGCCAATGGACTCTGAACAACCTCCTCGGGGATGATGAATAGACTTAAATCAAGAGAAATGAAGTCCTACAGAAAGATGCTGAGGATACCATGGACCAAACTACGTTTTAGAGAAAATGGAAACAGAATGGACAGTTATATTTAATATCAGAAATCGAAATTTATGAAAACACATAATGAGGAAAGAAGGCTTTCAAAATGTAATACTCACAGGACATATTGAAGGCAAGAGAGACAGAAGAAAGTAAAGAGTATTGCCTAACTAGCAAGGTTGAGTAAATGTATGACGGAAGCAAAATTTAGAAGATATAACAAAAAGACAAAATTTATTAAGAGGTATGAGGGACAGAGAATTGTGTTGAGCCATGATCTTCAACGTCCTGAAAGGACACGGTACATAAAAGACGTTTCTGTCATATTCGTTAACTCTGCTTGGAACAGTCTACAGATAAAAAAACGAGTTCAGGGAATATGCAAATATAGAAAGAGTAATACAAGAAAGCGTTTTCACACCGGATTTATTCAATCTATACACTGAGACGATCCTAACAGAATTATAAGACATGCTAGAATCTATTATGGGCTGGCACCACCTTAACATTAGATACGCAGATGAC